TATTTTTAAAAAAGGAATGATCTGCCAACTGGAAAGCACCATATAATTGAAGAGGTATCGTTACTTGTCTGAGTGGTGTTCATTGTTTTGTTTTTTTTAAATAATACTTTATTATGCAAACTATTTACAGTCTTTGTATGTGGTACCATTTTATAGGTAAATGCAGTGTTTTCACCTTCAGTTTCTTAAACTTATCTCTTTATTTGGGTGTCAAAATGAATTGCATTCTAACATGAAGAGGTTATTGTTAATCACTTTGCACAACTCTAGTTCCCTGGTATGAAACTTTTTTGACTGCTGAACACACACACACACACACACACACACACACCTCTTCACCAGTACGCTGTGCGCACAGAAGGGGCAAACTCTTGGTGCTTAGGAAAACTGGATGCTGCCACTGGTCTAAATGATTGAAATTTACTCAGTTCACTCTGCTTCTAGGCAAGGAGCTGTACTGGACATTGTCCTTTACTCCAACTTCTGTGTCCTCACCAGATGTTGCCCATTAGTTTTGAGGCTATCTTCATGAGGAGTATATATCCTGCTTTTTGACTAGAACTCTCAAGCCAGATACAACAGATACAACAAAAACCACATGCTCACAAAACAACCAGCCCAGCTGAAACAGGGACATTATACTTCGTAGTGTTGTTGTTTTATTGCTATTGCTACTGCTACTACTACAAATCCTGTTATTCACAGGTTTCTGAATTCTGGGCTTGGTGCCAAATAAGAGCAAAATTGCAGAAAACATTGCCCTGGCCTTAACCTATGTCCCTCAGGATGTATGGGGCATACTCACCACAGGACTTGCTTCTGCATGTGGTTGGATGATTGATTGGTCTGTATCCCTGAGTGCAGGCAGAGGAGAGCATAGAATATTCCATTCCTGCAGGACCCCCATCTCCTTTAATCCAGCACTTGGGGAAGGCACAAGGAAATTAAGGCCATTCTGAAGGGTTTCCAACCAGCCAAGATGGGCTGCACACCTTTTGCTGAGTTCTAGCATTCCAGCACAATAGCCTGACTTTCATGGGGCTGGTTGGCCCATCCTTTGCCAACTGAGTGGCCTCTGGTTGTTTTGGATGACAACTTCATTGTGCTGGCTGGAGCTGATGGGAGCAGCAGGCCAAAATATCTGGCAAGGACTCAATTATCTAGTGAATTTATGGTCCCTTGATTTAGACAAACACACTGTAACCTTGAATACCTTGAATAACCTTTAATTTCCCTTCTTGTTTTAATATGATTCGGGCCTTTCTCTTTTGCTGTATGAGTTCTAGGGCCTAAACCAAGGTAAAAACATAGTAAATAACCCCAAGTATGCTTTATTTTGACTTGGCAGTTCTGTGCTCTGCTCAAGACCTATGAGCTGAATTCTGAATACTGGTGTTTCTAAGTGTTGCTCTGATGGAAGGAAAGTTTCAGTGTGACTCTGTCCAGTTTTGTTTGAGGACAGGGAAGGTGGCTTGCACAGTGGGGATTAGCTGCTGAATGATGGCAGAAGTCAAAGCCCATGTGAAAGAAAGTGAGATCTAAACTTCCATTGTTTTAGGCTACAGGAAATATTTAGCTCTCATGGTTGGGCAAGATATTTTTGTAAACGTTCGTGCAAAGGGCCTGGCGTTCAGGTAGGGACTGTCAGCCATACCTGCTTAGCTACGTACCTGTACCTCATGAATTCCAAATGCTGTTTTTAATTATTATTTTTTAAACCCTACAAAAACTCAAATATCAGATTGAGAATAAAGCATGCAATATTTTGCAAAATAATCAACATGCCCTTTGATGCTAAATGCCGAACTTGCATGTTTGCCCCCCCCCTCCCAAAAAAGGTGTTTCTTTAGCACAGATTGAGAAATATTTTAGGGCGGAACAGAGGGCCCTGCCATGCAAAACATAACCTTATTATTATTATTTTATTTATTAAATTTATTTACTGTAATACCCTTCATCTGAAGATCTTTAGTGATTATAGTGCAACCTTTGCAAAATCAGGATGAAGACTTCCATCCTAAACTCAAGTAATGGGGAGAGAATCTAACTAAATTCATAGAATACACATGTTTAAGCTTGTGCTATCTGGAATTGACACAACACAAAGCTGTTACCTTTCAGGGCAAGGGAACTTGTGGGCCTCCATATGTTGTTGGACTGCAACTTTTAGCTTCCCTGACCACTGGAGTTGATGGCAGCTAGGAATCCAACAACCCCTGGAGAGCCAGAGATTTCTCCCGCCTCTGCTTTGGGGGTCAAAGGGTTGGGTCATAAGTACGGCTTATTACAATCCTCAGCCTCCTGACTTGTTGCCCTGATGAGTTGCTTTCATCCCATTTTGTCCTCTTAGCTCTAGCTCAGTACTCTCTACCCTGACTGGCAACATCAAGTTCTTAAGCTCTCATCCCACTGAATGTGGGGCTTTGTGTGTGTACAAATATGTGCCCCACCTGAGACATTTACTGGTACAGGCCAAAACTTGCTCTTGGCACTGTGATCTGAGGGATTTGAAACCACAACCCCAGAGGAAATGAAACTGAACCTAGGTTCAAGATCTGAACCTCAAAGTTCTTGCAGTGGAACTGATACTCATTCCCCTTGATCAACAAACCAATCGTTAAGGCTTAATGAGAATAACGGTAAGTTTACCGTGCAGCACAATAAATCACTGTACTAACAGCTTCTGGGACTCTGCTGCCCATTTGCTTTTCCAGGAGTCTCTGTTGTGGAGAGGGGAGAAAGCCTGGCTGGCTGCATCTTGTGTGATTTATTTTTAAGTTTCTTTCTCCTCCTTCCCTCTTCTAGGTGGGCCCTGCAGGATCCCAGTTCGGCTTGTTAGCCTGCCTTTTTGTGGAGCTTTTCCAGAGCTGGCAGGTCCTCGAGAAGCCCATGAAGGCTTTCCTGAACCTTTCTGGGATCGTCCTCTTCCTCTTCCTCTGCGGCCTCCTGCCATGGATTGACAACATTGCACACATCTTTGGCTTCCTCAGCGGCCTGCTGCTCTCTTTCGCCTTCCTGCCCTACATCACCTTTGGCACGATGGACAAGTACCGCAAGAGAGTCATGATCATCGTCTCGATGCTGGTCTTCGTCGGGCTCTTCGCATCTCTGGTGATCTGGCTCTATGTGTACCCTATTAACTGGCACTGGATTGAGCACCTCACTTGCCTGCCTTTCACTGACAGGTTCTGCGAGAAGTATGATCTGAACCAGGTCTTGCATTGATGGAGCTGGGAGGCTGTGGAATGGGGCTTGCAGGAGAGGATTTTAAACTTGGGATACCTGTCGGATGTTGAGCAGCAGTGGAATAGACAGAGGCAACACTGGCAGTCAGAAAAGGCAAAACATCTGCACTTCTCCAGCTTTCCCTGTACCACTCGTGAAACATTCACGCTCCAAGTGCTGAAGCAGAACGCCTGTTACCTTTTGCAAAACTCCTAGGTGCAAGGGATAAAGTCATAAGCCAACCTGTCTCTTGTATGTTCCTCTCTGAGTTCTGGGCACCAAGCAGCCATCATTGAGAGGCATAGCTTTGAAGCAACATCACCCTGTTGGTGTCCAAATTGGGTCAGAGTCTCTTACGAGAGGCTTCTCCACTACAGTGCCTGCAGCGGGTGGCAGTCTATGCTGAAGTTTTGATGTTGCGATAACCACCAACCATTTGGAATGTAGTAGAGAATCTACAAGCTCTGCCTCTTAGGCCGAGTTCCTTTCTATGAGCTGCCAAAGCAGCCAATGCCATCCTTCATCCATAGGACTGACTAGGTCCTTTGTGGGATGGAGGCCTGAGAGGCAGTCACTTCAAAAGAGCACTTTAGTGATGAGGCAACATCCTGTTGAACTGCTCGTATTTGCCGTCTGCCTGTGTCTATGGTTTCCTACTTGAAGTTCCTCCTTTTATGCAACTCCTGGTTTTGGGGGCCCCTTTCCTAATTGCCTTATGGCACAAGATGGTGCTTGGACTTTGTGGCAATCTTCCCTGCCTTAGTGCCTTTTTGTGGTACTGTGAATTGTACTGTGAAAACAAACAACCTGGTCTTTTTTGCCCAAGGGATATTTTATATGCATTTCTCTTCTCCCCTGCCCCTTCTTTACATTTGCGATCTCTGCTACCAAACACTTTCTGGCAAGTAGCGTTGATGCTTTTAAAGAAACCTTGTGCCATCTAGAAGAAGTGCTAGTACCTCGTCCAGTATTTATACGGAGTGAATTTAGATTTCTGTAGCAGACTTGAAGGATAACTTCACTCTGATAAAGAGGCCAGGCTCACGCTGTAGCGACAGATGAGATTGTTGTGTGGAGGGTGGAAGAGGATATTTTTGGTCTAAATAAATTAAATTTAAATTTATCAAAAGCAAATGTGCGTGTGTTTTTTTAAAAAAATGTGATTTATTTAGTGCCTTGTGTAAACCTTTTAGCCAGGGATGGAAATAGCTTGTCTTGTAAGTGGCCCCATGTAATAGATGTTGGTAAATGTACAAAATGTTGTTGCTCCAGTGACTGACTTTATTTTTAGAACGCGTTTACGAAGAAAAAATGTATTAAAGAAACCCCAAACCCTCCCTTTTATTTAATGTGTAATTCCTTGCAGTTCTCTAGATTTAGCAAGTTTTCATGAGATTGCCATCAGAGCACAGAAGGTCCATGGGGTAAGGCCCCATTGCAGGTATATCTAGGTCTACAGCTGTCATTCAGCTAATGTCTGGAAGAGCCCTAGCCTTCTTATGTTGCTCACATTGTCTAACCAGCCACTTCCCAAGTTGCATTACCCTGTGCCCTTGCCATTCGCATTCTGTATACCACTCAGATGTCCCTCAGGACCTTCAGCTGATCGCAATATAAGTATTTTTAACTTATTGCAACCTTTCTCTCCACTTCCCATCCAGTCTTAAACCTGCCCCATTGCCTGCACAAAATTACATTCCACCATCTTATCACTGCCTGATTTGATTACATAATTGGGAGTGGTGAAGGAAGGGTGTATAAAAAGCAAGACCCCCTTAGAAAAAAAAACTGTTATTTATTTGCTGACTCAACAAAGTGAAAAATGGCATGCAAAGGGTTGTGGGAGGGGGAGAAAACAAATGCTTTTTCTTGCTTAGAAGAAGGAGCTACAAGTGTTGATCAGCGTCCAGGGCTAACCCACAACATGCCTTGGACACCAAGATAACATACATTTCAATCCAGCCATTTTACAGTTAGTATAACCTCAAACAGATTACACTTATTTCACTTGTGAAACCCTTCCCCAACCCCAGAGCTTTTAAGAAACAGGCACCTGCTCTGGCCATGAGAAAGGCATACATAAGAAGCCCATCTTAATTAGATCACTTTGGGATCCAAAACTTGCTCCTCCTCAGTTTTTGCTTTCACTGCAACTGTAATGTGTAGGTAATCTAGCACAGGAGAATGCCCATGTTTGCACTGGACCATAACTAAACTGAAAAAGCATTTCTACTTTAGTTGTAGCCATGGAAGCTACAACGCATGCAACTATGAAAGCTGTGTCATTGTGGTTTTTGCCAACTTCCAAACATTATTTCCCTAGGCCTGCCTTGTTTCATGGTGGGGGCACATTCCTTCTTTACACTCAGTGCAGACTAGATTAATTACTGAAGATGCATGTTGGACTCTGTCCTTAAACTCGATATGTCCCGATATGCAGACCTCAGTTCATGCTGAAGGAGCCAATTTACCTTTCAAGGGACAGGAAACATGGCAAACGCCTACCCACTCGCCAAACATCAAAAGGCTGAGGAGGCTCAGGAAGCATATTAGGTGCTAGCAGCTGGACCTCCCCACCCACTATGTGCTATTTATCTCTGTGGGTGTGATGAGCATTGTACACATGAACATCCCCTTCTCTCCCACCACCATGAATGTTCATCAGCTCTTACATATGAGCACCTGCTAATATCGACACAGTCCTCCCAGGGGCAGAGGGACATACTCATTCTTGGGGCATGCGCCGAGTGCTTTTGCTTCAGCAGTAAGCCACTGCATTTCAAAGCATGTACATTAACTGCAATGAGTTAAGTACACACTGAACAGCCTCAAATTTAACAAGCCCATTGCTCCTGCTAGTTGTAGACCTTCGTTGCACCTGGGCAGCAGCAGGAGGAGGAGGGATTAGGTTCTGCACCTCTGTGCTGTGGGTACCTCTTGTCAAAGCCAGAAAGGGAAAGAGAACACCCTAAAGCAAATGTGGCTTGCCCCTTGTCAACAGGGACTTGGATTTATGTCAGGCAAATACTTATCTGGGCAGGAACTCTGCTAAGAAAGAAACCTGCTCTGGTTTTAGCACATAGACCACATTTATATACATATTTTTACAGAATATACAAGCACAGATTCCATGCATTTCACAACAACAGAGCAGCCAGTGCAAGAAGACATGGAGTTTCTCCACTTCAAGCAAAGAGACAACAGTTTCATCAGCGACGGCTGCTCCTTTCCAAAGGCAAACAGTAATTCCACAAAATGGCAGATGTAACTGAATGATTCTACTTCTCAGGTAATGTTTTTCCTAATTGCTCTATTAATCGCAGGAGGTGGTATAGGGCCAAAAAAAGCAAGCAGCCTGCTACAATAGAAACCACATTTTTGAGAATAGAAAGCTTGATTTCTGAAAGCATTTGTATGTGCCAATATTGTGACTTGCTTCATAGTTATAGATGCAGCATTTGTCTTCTTACAACCGTTTTGTTGGGTGATGGTAACCAATGTCATAAGGCAGAAAGGCAGCTGGGGCCCTGGTTGACAGTCAATGGTTACTCTGAAAATTGCCGAATTCTAACCTGCAGACCTATAGTGTACTGGCAACAGCAGTCACTTAGTTGATGGGAATAATGCTTAGCGGCTACTTCACCACCATGTCATGCTGTTGTCATCTTCATAGCTAAATTGAGGAAAGAGCAGTTACTGCCTTTCATTGCCCCATATATACAATGATCACTGCTGCAGGGCGTAAATTCAGCTAAGACACAAATGAGAAGACAACTGGGCTACATTTTAGCTACCAGTTTTAAAGGCAGTTGTGAGGGTACAATGCTACGACACCTATCACTGGCTACTAAAATGCTACTACGCATTAAGATCTGTGTTGCCTTTGCAGCAATGGCTATGATAGGAGTTGCTTGGGTTAATTGTGAACATATCAATCTGCGTATTGCAGTGGTTCTCAAACTTCTTAAAAAGGGACCCATCAGTAATTTTAATATGTGTGTGTAGGCTCACTTGCCTAATTCACCACTGATGTGGAAGTTCCTTATCCCAGAGAAGAGAAGTTGGCAACTTTGTGACCCACCCATTGGACTCCCCTGACCCATTGGTGGGAATCACTGGGAAACTGGGCTTCTCTGCCTCCAAGAACACCAGCCAGATGTGGATGGAAATGGGAGGCACCTCCTCAGCAACCACTGTTTCTGCGCATGAAGGCATGGCCACGAACGGCATGGTCCATCTCGATGAAGGTCAGAGAGCCCACCGTGATCTCACAGGGGCCCAACGCCTTGAAGCCACACTTGGAGTAGAAGGGGACAAGGAAATCCTCACACATCAGTGTGGCTCGACGCACGTACGGCAGGCAGCACAGGTACTGCAGGTAGCGCCACATCAAGATGGAGCCCTTGCCTTGCTGGCGGAAGGTGCGGTGGACTGCCAGAACATGGATATGGACTGTGGATCCATGAGGCTTGTGCAGGGTCAGAGCATCCTGCCGAGGGAGGAGAAAGAGAGAAGATGGTTGTTAAGAGATGTGGTCCACCCACTGTTAACACCCTACCACAGACTGACTCTACTACTTATAGTAGACAAGGGACAACTTTCTTCTATAGCAGTGTTTCCCAACCTTGTGCCTCCAGCTGTTTTTGGCCTACAATCCCCATCATCCCTTGCCACTGGTCTTGCTAGTCAGGGATGATGGGAGTTGTAGGCCAAAAACATCTGGAGGCATTGTACTTGACCTGATTTAGGCTAATGTGATGAGATTCATGCGGGGGGAGAGAGAGGTGAAATGCTCTAATATTTAGGGCCTGAGTGAGGAACCGATGGCATTTTTCACTGTAAGCCTCATCATTTCTAACCCTTGGCCATGCTGGCTGGGGCTGCTGGGAGTTGGAGTCGAACAACTACAGGAGGGCCACAGGTTCACCCACTCCCAATTTAAAGAGAGCTGTGCAGCCTCTCCAGTATTCAGAATATTAAAAAGTGAAATGTTCGTTTCACACTGAATCCAGCATCTACCTTAGAGCTGCTCCAGGGCAAGACTCCTGATCAGTAGTCTTCTCAAATAGAATAATGTGGTTTCTTATTAATGCATTTATGTTTTTGTACATGTACCATACTGGCTCATGCCTGCAAAAATCCCAAATCCTCTTGAGTCCCATCAGGGGAAAAGGCAGGGTATAAATATAACAACTTCAGCAGCTGAGTGAAGGGATGTTAAAGTGTGGGGCAAGCATGATACTAGCCCATTCACCAAAGCATGTGAAGAGTAGAAGAAGAGTACCCAAGCCATATGTACTACAGCAGGCTTCCTCAACCTCGGCCCTCCAGATGTTTTTGGCCTACAACTCCCATGATCCCTAGCTAGCAGGACCAGTGGTCAGGGATGATGGGAATTGTAGTCTCAAAACATCTGGAGGGCCGAGGTTGAGGAAGCCTGTGCTACAGTGGTACCTCGGTTTTCAAACAGCTTAGTTCACGAACAACTTGGCATTTGAACGCCACAAACCCGGAAGTAGGTGTTTGCAAACTTTTTTCAGAATCCGAACTGTTCTGTTTTGAGTGTTACACTTCTTTTTCAGTGCCACACTTCCGTTTTGAGTGCCCCAGCTCCTGCTTGCATGGGAGTAGGAGCTGAATGGGGCTGCTCACCTGGAAAGGTGTAGGCTCTGTCACACTTTTCCATTGAGGGGTGCGTGGCTGCATTCACCTTAATACAGAAATTTAAAGGAGCATTGGTGGCAATGCAGAGACAACCCAACAGCTGCCTCAGCAGCAGTTTAGGGGTTCTCTGATGCAGCTGCCAGGCTGCCTCCACCTTCGTCACCCCAACTATTCTGTTTGGCTGCCTTCAGGTGGTGCAGGGGCTCAGATGCTGATGTGGAGGCTCCTTTAAACTTCTGCCTTGAGTGGAGATGTTTAAAGGAGCCCCCAGCCATGAACCCCTCAATGGAAAGTGTGACGAAGCCTGCACCTCCCCAGCTGAGCAGCCCATCCATCTTCTACTCGCATGCAAGCAGGAGCGGGGATGGGGATCTCTCAGCTGGGAAGCAGAGACTTCATGTTCCACAGCTGAGCATTTAAAATTAAAACTGAAACTATCCAGAAACACAACAAATTGAAAAAAGCAAACCAACTGCAAATGAATCAAATTCACAAGAAAACATAAAACAGTAGTGACCCTAATCCTAATTCTAATCCTTCCCCTAACCCTAACCCAGAAATGGTATTGTTAGATAATAAAATTCATGTTAATTCGCTGTTTTAGGGGTTGTGTCTGGACAGATTAATCCATTTTGCACTACTTTCTATGGGAAAGCGTGCCTTGGTTTTGGAACACTTTGGTTTTAGAACAGACTTCTGGGACGGATTAAGTTTGAGAACCAAGGTACCACTGTACTCTCCATCAGTATAAGCAGGTGATGTGCATTTGAGTCTATGTTCTCTCTCTGTCAGTTACATAATGGGAAAGTGATGCATTTAAAAGGATTTCCATTTCCTACCTGGCTGAGTCGTTCCTGATCCCAGAGAGAGCCAATAATGAAAGCAACAAGTCGGCCTTCTTCAAACCAGCCGAGCGACAGCTCTGGACACAAGTTCAGAAAGTGGCGAATCTCATCCAGGTGGAGGGGGCAGTCTCCCGACACTGAAATGAATGCTGTAGAGGACAACAGAGAGAGGAGTTGAAGGGTTAATGTCATACTGCTGTCTAGATCCAGGCTGCAGTTTCCTTGTCGCTGCAGATACATTAGACCTGCCCTGAGAACAAAGGTTCAAAAATGGAGCTAGGTGGGAGGCTGGAACTGAATTCCTGAATCTAGTGGACTGCAGTTTTCAGGGTAATTTGATTCCTATTTGACTTCTGTTTGCTTCTGTTCAATAAGTGAAAGCTGAGGTTCCTGGGGGTGGGCAAGACAGAATAGTTAACCCTTCCCACTGGTGGTGAAATGTCTTGGTGGCATCTTTTATTAGAATTCATCAGGTAGAGGAGAAAGGTAGCCCATTCTAAGCTAGGCCAGGCATATTTTGTAAACTTCAGTAGCCTACCTTCAGCTTCCCATTGCAGGATGAGCTGAGTCATACCTCAGTGGGATAAATCTATTGTCTTATTAGGATACCTTTGATGCTAACAAGTATTTCTCTTTCAGCGGCTGCCAGTCTGACCTAGCACTTAGTGCACCATCATATTCAAATACATTTATTTCCTTTGTCTTCCTTTGTTTTTTGTTTGTTTGTTTGTAAACTCAGTTCCAGAATATTCAAATTCAGCTGCAAAACTCAAATGTCCATAACAGGATTTGTTTAGCCACCCAAGTACGAATAAAGATACCTGAATTTAACCATCAGTGCTCAGATCTTACCACTGAAATTCAGATGTGGAAAACATTAATTTCCATCATTTTTGAGCAGGTGGCCTGTAAGGAGCACATTCACTCAGCCTCCACTTCCCTAATGCTTCTGACTGATCTTTAGTGTGCTACTGATGCTGCAGTTTATCAATGATCTCAATGCTTCCATTACTCTCACCTGAGAGGTTAGGAATGTGATTCTTCCCACACTGTACACATCCATTTTTGACTTTCTTCCTGCATTCAATCTTACACTGAACACGTTGACCACTTGGGGGCTGTAAGCCATATCTGGATGTTTCCCATAATGCCGCATGCCTGAGAGGCACAAGAAGGCTGACATTCCAGCCCCTCTCTTGCTGTGTCTTGGTGTTAAATTGCTCACGTTAAGCAAGCTGGCTGCCACTTGTGTAAAATATTTGCTTGGATGTTTTCCCTTCCACCTCCTGCCTTTTCTTTCCTCTCCTACTCTGCCCTCAATAAAGGACCCCAGTAACTCAGTGCTTCTAAAGTACAGAAGTGCCTTTTATTTATTTGGGGGATGAGGTGGAGGGCGGTTCAGAAAACGTAGGAGACAAAGGAATTGGCGCCTTACCTTCTCTCTCTATTTCGAACACGCTGATGGCATCCTCAGGGGTGAGGCACCGGAACTCGCTGGCGGGCAGAGTGTGCCTGCGTTGGCGCCCAGGGGAGATCCGCGGAGGTTTGAGGTGGATGGGCTTGAGAAACGGCAGGGCGCTGATCACAGACATCGTCTCTAGTTTATTCCTGCGCCTTCCGTAAATGCTCTGCCCGCTTTTGGAGTAGCCGCGCTGCTATTTCAGTCCACCACCTCCAGAGCAGTCAGCCAGCAGCTGAAAATACCTGCAAAATGCATATCAAGTTAAGTCGCTTGCGTCTCTTTATATAGGCACACACATCCGCTGAGACTTCAGGCACCTTAGTCCTCATCATCACCACCAGTGCTGTGGAAACGGAAGGTCCCTCAGGTCACAGAGGTGGGTCCTCGCTAATGTCCGGCTCACAAAAGCAGAAATCCAGCAAATGCCCAGATGCTGTGCATTAGAGCAGTAATAACAGGGGGGTGGAATCAGAAGTGGCTTTTATAGCTTGGAGGCTTGCTGGCAAGGTTAAGTGACAAGATAGGCAGGGTTAATACACTGACGTGGGCTGTGAAGGAATAGTTATTCTGAGGTCACCAAGAAGCTGGATTGGATGACTCAAAAGCGCTCTTAGGACCTAATCCTGACAGATACAGATCACTTCCTGCTAGGTGCTGGGTGCCTCAGATTGCAGGGGAATAAGACAGAGCTCAGAGTCAGGAAAAGCATGCTGGGACTCCGCACACAATCAGACTTAATGCTGTCAAACCAATCTTCTGCCTTCTGGAAAGCTTTCCTGTGATTGTTAATTAACCAGCCAAATCAAAAGATGTGATACCAGAGTTATTTTCCCTTTAAAAGAAGAAAGCAATTGTGGGAACGAGGGTTTCTTCTTTCAAAGGAAAAGAAAGGTACAGCAGAGTGCTCTTAAGAGGTAGCCAGGGTGGGAACCTTAATCTTCTGAAAGGGCAAGTTAATCAGGTGCTCTTGTGGAAAGGCTGCTGCAGACAATCCTTTTACTGAGAAATCAGCTTTCTTAAACCCGCCAGCCAATGACAAAGAGAGCCAGCGAAACGTTCCAAATCGGGTTGGGAAATGATGCTCCCTGCCTGGTTGCCCTGTTCTGTTGTGAATGCCCTATGCTTCTATAAACACCAAGTATTGCCTTCATTTTGGGCTGGTGTCTTAAATGCCTCTTACAGAGGAATGGGGGAGGAACATATTTTGGGTGATTTCTCCTCTCCCTTGCAGCCCTCAACCCACTAAATCTGCTCCAGAGGTTTGGGGAGTCTCCAGAGCAGATCTAGGAAGGAGGGGGGAATTTCTGACCAAAGCCTTACCATCAGCTGAGCACCATCATTGGATACAACCCAATATCCTGGGAGAACAGAAGTCTTTTCCTTCTCCATTACTTTACAGCAGGGATGCAGAACCTGTGACCCTCCACTTGTTGTTGGTCTCCAGCCCCCATCATCCCTCACCGGCTTGATCAATGGTCAATGACGGAAGTGGGGTCCCAGCTACATGTGAAGTGTCACAGGTTCCTCATCCCTGGTCAACTATGACAGCTCCAAAAAGCTACATGGAGCATCCTTTATTCCAGACACTGTAATTCAATAGATTCACCCGTTTCTACCATATATATTTTTCAATCTAGCAAGCCTGGGTCCTTCCTAAACTTGAATTTTTTATGTACAAGGATACCTCTTGTTTATTCTTTCAAGCTCTGAAATCAACAACTATATCCCCAAAGCATATTTCTCATACATTTTACACCAAATGGCCTGTGTGGGTTTGGGCAGATGTCTAATGAGCTATAATATCTACAGGAAAGCAGCAGCCAAACCAAGCTGGTGCGTCTTACGATTTATTCACATTGCCTATTTTGGGCAATCATTATAGACCTAGCGCTTGCCAAGTTGTGAACTGAGTTGGAGGCATCAAGGAGCATGCATGATTCATGATGTCTATTTTGGGCAAAATCTGCCAGGTTTGGGGCCTGTGGTCTGAAAGTGTTCACAATGTCAGACCAAACCCGGGCTCCAAACGTCATGTTAGGCTTTCTCCATGAAGTTTTGCTCAACTTGGGATATATGCCTAGCACAATTTGTTGCAGAGAAGGGCCACAGCTCAGTGGCAGGGCATCTGTTTTGCATGCCAAATGCCCCTGGCATCTTCAGGAAGAAGATGTCTGAAACCCTGGGGAACCGCTGTCAGTCAGTGTAGAGAATATTGAGATAGATGGACCAAGGGTTTACATATATGGATATGTAGTTCCCAAGTTTCTATGCAGAGAGATAAACATAGATGCATCATTACTGATAATTAACGGGTGTTCACTTTCCTATCTAATTGCGGGCTAGCAATGTGGCTAATGGGATCTGAAGTAAAAGCCAAACAAAATAATTGCAGCACTAGCAGCTGTGGGTGAACTGAAAAGGGTGGGCAGGGCTGTTTGAGTGCTGCCATTTCCTGGGATTGTGAGGGTTCGTGCTCCTACGGCCCTGTGAGTGCCCATGCGGGAGCTTTTGACGCAGCTTCATTGCAGAGGTGATGACCCCCAAACACCTAGGGAACAATGAGAATGCCATATACGTGCCTGTGCTCAATGTATGACATCTCAGCATGCCGTTTCTCAATGTGCTTTGCAGAGTGAAAGGGAACCAAGGGACGGCTCAGGTGAAGGAGATTAGCCCATTCATTATGACAGGTCCTTGAGCTTAGTGCATAGTCGTGACAAGTGATCGGTACACAGACGTCTTATGCAACCCTCTCGACTATCTTTCTAGGGTCGGAATGTATGTGCTTCTTGGCAAAATAAGAGCCAATAGGAAGTGACAGCAGTGATAAGGGTAACTCCAAATTTGGTCAAATCTGCCCGGTTTGGCTGGTTCAAGTCTTCCTTAATATATAGGCTTATTGCACACTCCATAACCTGTCCGCCTTCTGAGCTGTGAACTCAGCTGAGGGTATCTGTTGATGGCAAAGGCTGCTAGGTTTGGGGTCTTCAGCATGAAACTGATTTCAGCAGCATACTATGGGTTGCATCCAATGAAATCGCCCCGTTAACGTAAGCACTTCTGCCTGTGCAACAGGACTTTTTCTCCCTGCACACATCTCTGTGACCCCCCCAACCTTTTCTGGGTTCCCCCCAATCCTCCAGAGCAGGTTTTGGGGGATGGGAAATACACAGGGGGAGAGAGTCCTGATGCATAAGTGGAAGTCCTTGATACAGCCCCATATGCATGCAGCACAAGCTATAATAATAATTCATCCCACATGAACTTTTGCAAAAAATAAAAATAAAAATGGATTAGGTGACAAAAATCTGGAGCCTTTCTGTCTAGCATCAGATGCTTAATCGTAATAGGGATTTTATTTTCTCCAGCAAACTACAATATTTCTGAGGCTTTACGTTTTTTTAAATGCAGAGTGACTGAATTTAAATTTAACTTTAGCAGCAACTTCCATGCAAGGCTTAGGATTTCTCCCCAGCTGTACTGAAAGACCCCAAAGGACAGGATCTGGGAAATTCTTAGGCAACCTACAGGGCTAACTGGATGCTGCAATCTGTAAAAGTGCAGAAAGTGCTGCTGGATGCTGATCTTTTCATACACCATTCACGGAGCACAAGAATATAATGATAGAAAAGGCAGGCTTCGTGAATCCAGAATAACATAGCCAATGGGCTTAAATGCTCTTTTCACACAAGGGGAGGTGATTCAAGCAGAAGCACGGACCTTTATCCAAGGCACAAATAGAAAGAACAGACTGTCCCTGACTTTAATTATTACGGTCTTTCAAGCCAACACCATATGTGGCACCATGGAGATTGACATCTCTCATTCATAATCATGCCCTAGAAGATTATATGTATCTCTAGATATAGAGATGTACAATCCATATTTATGTGCACAGAATAGGCTCTCATATGCACTCTCAGAATGTACATGCCTAGTAAATTTAACCACAAACTATCTGCATTGGAGTCACTAATTTACAGTAGTTCTACTGGGAAATGTGAGGATGCTTTCTGATTACAAGCCACAAGTTGAGATCTGGGAATTCCTTCATGTTTCCTTTTCCCCAAACTTGAAAGCATTAATAAATATGTAATAACAGATTAGCTGCTGATCCACAAATACAGATTGCAATTAAAATTGCCCCCTTGCAGAAAGTTTTCAGTGCTGGTAGCATTTTTGTTTGGGGGAAAAGGAATCAGAAAATGTGTTTCTCAATAATTATTAGGGCCACAAATCATTTGCCTAAACTGCAACCTTCATCACATATCCCTGCCTATAATTTGCTTTGACATTATGTAATATTTATATTAGGTAACTTACTCCAACTATCAATCAGTTAAAAGCAGGATTAAAACCTCAATCCTACACCTACTGGGTGGAATTCACCTAACCCAGCCCCATCAGAGACGCCCTGCAAAAGGACTTCTGCTTGCACAATGGGGTCCCTACTCTCCAACCTCCACCCCAGACTGGTTTGGGAGAACCCCAGAAACAGCACAGAAGGGGAAGGAAAGCGAGGTCATTCTAACTGGCAAGCTGAAATCCTTGTGCAGACAGGATGCTTGGAAGAGAGCAACTCTGAAATCCACCTGCAGTGTTTAGGATTACAAACTGTGGCCTTGGACACTGCTAACTCAGCTTACGTTCCATACATAATGTGTGTCTATATTGTATATAAAATTTGCACGGAATCATGAACAAGACTAATAGTAACAAATAATAGTAAAAAGAAAATGGCTATGATTTAATGCAAAGCTGCATGCATGTAAGCCCTATTTAACTAGTGCCTGTATTTAGTTACTACCTAGCTGAATGTGATGATTTTGCTAAAAAATACAAACCAAAATTGGGGTGGGGACATAGTTTCCAAATTAGCAATAAATGAAACACACAGAACTGTGGAGGGGACTGTGCCCTCCAATTACTCTGTGATATTTTTCCTCTTGTAATCATTTAAAGTAACAGCTATTCCAAACAAAAAAAAACCAAAAAACTCTGCTGCTGTAGAAAATAAGTGCATTCCCTTTTCAAATCCTTGGCTGAAGGGCTGTATATAAATTTAATAAAGAAAGAAAGCAAATAAAAACTTTGGCAGTCAGCATCACAGATGTTAGAACCGAAATAACTGATCTTACCTGTGCATTAAGTTTTCTTTCAGGATTCCAACGCGTGGCCCCCTCTGGAGAGAAGACTGAGGTTCTTGCAGAGTTGCTGCCAGAAAGAATAGAGCAGATAGTGTGGGCTGTAGGGACTCCTGGTGCACTTCCAGCTTTTATTCTGCAGAGACTTCGGGAACTGCAGCTTATATATTTGTTATTTCTAAAGCACGTGATGGTACTCTTAAGACATTTCTAAACCCTCATGTGACAGACACTTGCAAAAGGGCTTGGAGGTGACATGGCAACAAAAGGATCCCCGCAGGCTTTATTTTCTTGGCATGGTTTTCTGCTGAGGGATAAAGTGTTTTAGCTGATTGCTAGATACAAAGGGCATTGTACAAGCCACAGGTGAGTAGTCAGGCGATGGGTGCTGACAGAAAACAGGTGAAGCAGAAACACATTGCATGCTTTTACTGGATCAATAAACTCTACCGTGGCATCTTCCTTGAATGTGAATAAAACTCCGCCAATATTACTGTAAACGCAATTGCCCTCCTGGATTTGCCCTTGAGCTGCAGCGTCCCATAGCTTAATTCTCCAGAGTTGCCACATCAGCAAATGGTTATACTGTGGAGTTGCTTTTAAAAGGGGGGGGGAGGAATTCTTTTCCAAATGTAATGCCCAAATATTGGTATGATTAGGTTAACAAAGGACATCACTCTACCTTTAATAAAGCTTTCCGCCAGCATTCCCAAGCAAACCAGCAGCAAGCCTGTAACTTCCATGATCCCCTCTGGGTCACATTAACAAAATTCAAAAAGGGCATCTCCAGAAAATAAGAACCAGATAGGATAAAGTTTTTGCAAATACCAGAAAAACTGCAGCTTCTGGAGTGTCAGCCATAATTGTGTGGATAATTTACTGTTTGCAGGAGTCCTAGGGAGCCAAGTGTCACACTGCTTTCCCAAATTCATGTTGCTGTGCATTTCTTCCTCTGCTATTAGATGGCAAGAAGTGAAACACAACCTTCTGCAGAACATTTTAAAGAGGCTACTATTCAATAATAAATAAGCAAAGATGGAAAGAGAACTTAAAAAAAAAAAACAGGCTCCAGAGCTTGCTGATGGCATTACACTTTGTTGTAGTTCAATGTGTTTATTGTAAAACACTTATTTGGGTGCTATGGACAAAACCAGAGACAAGGGGTGGGGATTGATCCATTGGGCAAGCAGAAATGCTTGCCATGACAAAACAATCAGAAAAAACACAACACTTCCATTTCTGATTTTTTTGGCTTACGATAGAGCAGGCGTCATCTACGTCATTTCATGCCCGTGTGATAAACTCTGTATGCAAAGACATCTAGGCCTTTGAATGTACAAATCACGAACAACCACAGTGCAGATGACCACAGCGCCTGGAGACAGACCGGCTGTGTATCTACAGCAGTGAGCAGAGGATAAATGACTACAGGGAGGAGCACAGAGAGAATAAATGCCATGGTGCATCAAAAACAGCAAAACTGCACACCTTCGTCTGCCCCAGCTGCAATAAAACATCTCTCTCCCGTATTGGACTCTTCAGGCAAAGCAAGTGCTGTAACGCTCTAATGGTTTGACTTTATCTTCCACTGTCTCAAGACAGAAAAATGCCAACAACATATTTCAAGAAACAGCAGGATGCTTTAAGCAGCTGTCTCTGTACTTCATGGATTGAGGCTCACTATATTTATTGCAACGTTAGTTTGGACATTATATCAGAAACGTGAAAATGCAATGTTAACATATCTGGGTTTAGCACAATTTACTGTGTGCTTACGATCCACTCTAGTCAAAGCTAGATTGTCAAAGAGCGCCATCTGTTGGGAAACATGAAATACACCAAACTGACATTTTAAGAAACGGAAAGGAAATGAATCTTTTCAAAACACATCAAGGAGAAAAACAGAGTGGCATGTGTTTCCAGAACATTAGATTCATAGGTATATGGGTGGATCACACTGAGCTTCCCATTCTCTAGAATTCTTTAAAAGCTAGTGGGACTCAGGCGTGTAGAGTTTGTGCCTGGGATCGCAGAGCCTGCTGAGTCATCTTTTTCCACCTCCAGAGCTTTGCCCCACCCCTCCTGGAGCTTCACAAAGCATTCTGTCTAGAAGGCAATGCAGAGAGAAAAAAGTATTTGAAAGAGGAACAGAGGAAGCAATTATCAAAACTGCAAGTGTATGTGGGGCTTGAAGGAGGAGGAGCAATCTTGACCTCCCCAGTAAAGAACTGAGAGAAGAGATGCTGGTGACAGCAAGGAGGAGGCTGCCACAAGTGAAGAGTGTGGCTGCCATCTAATAATGCAAGAAAATAGTGGAGAACCTTTGTGGAACAGAGATCATTTTGGCCTTATACTTTACTATTTTTATTTCTGCGTTAGGCTTCATTTGCACTCCAGCTTTGTTTTAAGCTGCTAAATTTGTTTTGCTTGTTGTGTTTATGATGGTACTGTTTTTTAATTATTATGTGGTTACTTACTCACATTATTTGTAAGTGTCCTTATTATGGGTTGCATTAATCTGCTCAAAACAGACCCACTCAAATTAATGATTTAAGATGACTCAAGCCCATTAATTCCAACTGGTCTGCCCTGAGTAGAACTTAATTGAATGCAACCCTATGTGTCTTTCTTTTTATTGTTATGACTGTTCATTTGAAATGCTGTAAGCCGCTATGGCTGTGATCTTGACGAGAGCCATGCAAATAAAATGATGATGATGATGATGATGATGATGATGATGATGATAAGAGAAACCTGCTTCCTGATGCCAGCATCTCAAGTACCAGTCACCACAGCTGCCATAAAGTCATGTACTGAGTATGTTTTCCTGTTTGCTAACTGGGCAGTTAACAGCACTACATCAAGCAAGGCCTGATGGGACTGCAGACACAACAGCCAGAAAAATCCCAGTTTGGAGAGAATAGCGGGAATAGGATAAACTGATGCTGTCTAACCCTACTTCCTGTTGCCTGGCCTGTCAGCTTCCTGCTACTGCAACAGCCCTGCTCCTGTGTACACTACTGATCATGGCAACAACATACCCGACTCCCAAACTATACACTTGGCTGCTCACCTAGCACAGGAATAACTACAAAATGTCTTAATGCAGTCTGACCACCCTCACCTCAGACAAAAACAACAGCATCAACCTGCATACATGCTAAGGCATAGAATCATAAAATTGTAGAGCTAGAAGGGACCACAAAGGTCATATAATCCAAACTCCTGCAATGCAGGAACAGTTTGCCCAAATGGGGCTTGAACCCATGACCCTGCTCTACCGACTGAGCTATCCTGAGTTCCCCTGGGTCAGATTCCATCTTCTCGTAGTGGGTCTAATCCCCCCACTCAAAGCCTGAGTTTGTTCCCTCACCACAAAATCTCAGAGTGCCACACAGGTGTCCATCTGGGAGAGAGAAGCAGGCTGCATTCACATCACAGTTTATTCCATTTTTGAGACTCCCCTAATGGTTACGTTCTGCATTATATTTGAGCTTTCATGCTATATTAAAGCTGCTTCTGGAACTGCAGCGGAATATAGTGCAAGTTTAGTGCTCATTTCTTTGTCACTTGCTTCCAGAAAAAAAACCTGTTTCCAAGCATTTGAAGGGCATTTTTAAAAAGAGTAACTCCAGGATCATAGGCCTGAGGACACCTCTAGAGTCTGTATAGCACAGAGGGATGCAACATGGGAACATGAGGCAGCAGCTTTGTCCAGTAGAGTGCTATTCCTCGGATGCCACTAAATATGTAAGTTACTGAGCATTTCCCAGGTTTACTCCAAGGGAATATAGATAAGTATCCTGGTCACTTTTCCCCTTCTGTAAAGATCATGAATCATTTCCCCTCACTAACTGGCGTGGAAGTCCTTATAAAGTGCTTCCAGTTGGATAACAAAATGTCCACAAGATGGAGCAAGAGTCTTTCATAAGATAAGGAGAAATGTAGGCAGGCAGGTCAAGTTTGGTGCACCTGAGGTTCAGGAACTCCAAATCCGCTTTGGCTAGTAACATATTTGCTTAACGTTTTAGAATAATTTTGTCCAGCCTCTTGTTTCGCCTCCTGATTGTTTGGCTGAAGTGTCTCAAAGGAGGAAGAAATGCTCATAAAACTGTACAATCATGATTCAAACGTTTTGAGAGTTATTTATGAGAACTTGATTTACAGTAATTCTCTCCTAGGCACCATGAGATTGCAGGATCTGGGTGCAATGAAAATGTGAGATTGATCTTGCCCAGGAAAGTTTCATATGGGTAACAAATAAGGGATAAATAAGGAACTGTCTTATGCTGAGTCACACCAATGATAGGACATTGTTCTTCAATGTGTCCCCAGGTGTCTTCAATGTGTCCCCAGAACCACAATGCCCATCATTCTTGGCAACTGGCTAAGCTGGGAATGATGGAAGTTGTAGTCCAACAACATCTGGTGACCAAAGGTTGAAAAACAGTGATCATTCTAGACCAATCTTCCAAATTATCACAGGTAACACATCAACTAAGCCTCAATATTATCTTGCTGTTTGTACTCTTTAAAAATAAAAGCCCAGTAACTTGGACAATGGTGGCCTCTCCCTCATTGTGGCTGTGATCCAAGCAGTGGGGAAATTGAAATCAAGTACTTGGCAAGTTAATTGGATAAGAATAGTATGCAGGAGATTTCAGGAGGAAGAAACGGGAATGAGAAATCTCATGTGTGTCTGCATGCCCCCACCCCGTTTAGTAAGTGTTGGCAAAAGGAGAACCTATACATTATGATTAAAGATGGAGAGGTAAAGTATTCTTCTGTATAAGGAACTCAAGTCCCTTCATCCAGCCCAGGATAATTACATTCCACACAGGTACATCAAAATTCCATCAACATGAGTATAAGATTTTCAACATGAGTACAATCTTATGAGATTATGAGACATTATAGAATGCTGCTATAAACATAGAATGTACACCACGAAGCTGAGAGCCTAGGAATTTCCTGAGCTGTGTGTATCCTAGCAACAAAAAACTCCTATCTTCTCTAAAGACTGCCTGTGTACCATACTGTAGGAAACATGGCTTGTCCTCCTAACTTCAGAAACGGATTGCCAAGAGTCTTAAAAATTGTCTTGTACCCCCTCCCCCATGTATACTGCAATCTTGCTACTGGGCTGAAAGTTTAGTAATTTTAAGCATGGCTGTTACTGCCATTCATATACTAAGTGGACTTTGCTTTTTAAAAGGAAGACATAAATGATAAAACACTCAAACACTCATTAGTGTGAGTAATCCCCATTAGCTCTGTTTCTGCAAACAAGAAGTTGCACTGGCCAGATTTGCCACAATGCTCCAACCAGTTCAATTATCTGGCTTTTATCCTCAACCTCCCTCATGAGGACTAGCACTAGTTTCCTGCTGGTGAGAGGTGTTAACTCCAGCAACTCCCTTGTTGACATCCCTACCTCTAAGCTTCCGAGTCATCAACGGACTCCCGTGACTTGTTTTCATCTAAACTGGCAGCGATCTGTGGCCGGAAAGGTTATGTGGGTACAAGATGTTCCCATGCTCAGGTTGTTGCTAGGATCTTTAAGACCTTCCCTAGCGCTGAAACAACACTGTCATTAAGAGTTCACTAGACTAGATGGTACCTATTAAGTAAAGAAACAAGTTTCTCTCTTCCTTACCTCCACATCTCTAACTAACTCCTGCTGTGTCTGATCCACTTCTACCATTTTTCTCCCCCTCTTCTTCAGTTCCCCCTATCCACAAAGGACTACAATCTCTCATCCTGTCTCTTTTTGCCCGTCTCTCTCTTTTCACCAGCCTCTTTTTCTTCCCCATCTTCTTCTCCTGGTCTCCTTCCCCACCGCCCTTTGTTCCCGCTAGTCCGCCTGCCTCCTCACTTTTGCCATCCTGACTCTACCCGACGATGACAGGAGGCGCAAAAGACCAGAGTGCACAGAAAAACCAAAAGGTGGCAAGTCGGATCATCCCTAAATCTGGGCAGCTCAGTCCGGCTGGGCTTTCCTCCCCACCTTGGTGTCTTCTTCACTCTCCCAGGGGTGCCAACGTGGATATATGGGGGGGGGGGAGCCCAGCCGCGCATAATCAATCACATGACGTAGCACACGCACCCTATTTGGATGGCAATGTCCATTAACTGGGGGAGGGGGGAGGCTGGCCCTCTCAAATATTTTATAGGGGGGCAAAGGGACCTCCGCCCCTAGGAGTTGGTTCCTATGCTTTCCCCCAACCCCCCACTATTTCCGTTTTATCTGTTGACCCTCCCTCCATCTTCAACTCAGGCCCTTTTCTTTGTGGAGGAGTAGACGGTGTCCTGGCTCCCCCCCCCCACATTTCCTCCCTCAGCTCCCCACCCACCTCACCTTTCACCCCCGCTTTCCTCCTTATGTCCCTATACCCCACCGGCCTTGCCCTCCTCCAAACCCTCCCCCCCCACACCGTTTTTCTCCTTCTCCCCCTCCCCCACCGTTTTTCTCCTCCTCGCTCCCTCACGCACGTGCCCCTCCCACCCGCGCACTCCGCGCTCTGCCTCGGCCCCGCCCCTCTCCGGCCTCTATTTGGCGGACGGGGCGGGGCCTAGCCGTTGTAGCCCCGCCCCCGCCGAACGGTGACTGCGCTGTGTGGGCCAAGCGGCCGCCGTTGCTGCTGCTGCTGCCGCCGCCGCCGCCATCCCTTCCTCTTCCTCCTCCTCTTCCCTCCTCCTCCTCGTTTCTTTTTCTCCTTCTCCTCCTCCTCCTCCTTCCCTCCTTCTCCCCCTCCCTTCCTTCTCCCCGCCTCAGCCACCACCATGGCGGAGCCGCCTGCTCCCGCTGCCCCGCCGGCAGCCCCGGCGACGGCCGCCCTCCCCGCCGCCGGCTCCCAGAGGCTGCTCTTCACCCACGACCTGGTGTCCGGCCGCTACCGGGGCTCGGTGCGCTTCGGCCTCGTCCGCGTCATGCACGGCGAGGACTCCGACTCCGAGGACGACGACGGGGGGCGAGGCCCCGGAGCAGGAGGCGGCGGTGGCGGAGGGAGCAGTGGCGGCGGCGGCCCCGGGGGAGGCGGAGCGGGCAGCTCGGGGGGCTCCGAGTCCGGGGGCCCCTGCGGCGGGGAGGAGAGCCGAGGGAGCCCCCTCCGCCGCGGCTACGTGCGCGTCCAGTGGTACCCGGAGGGCATTAAGCAGCACGTCAAGGAGACCAAGGTAACCGAGGAGGAGGAGAAGCAGCCGCCGCCGCCGCCGCCCTGGGCCTCGTTTGCATCTCATCTGCATACACGGCGGCGAGGGAGGGAGGGGGGCTCCTTAGGCAGGACTCCAGAGGAATGGCAGGGTCTCCGTGGGGTGTGAGGCTCCAGGCCATGTGGGTGGGTGTAGTATCTGGGGTGCCCCCCACCCCAGGAAGGTTGGGCATGGCCTCTGACTCGGGGGTTGCGGAAAGGCAGCTCCTGGCCTCGTGTCTCAATCACGCCTTGCAGGGGCCCACCTTGCACCAGTTAAGGATGCGCAGCAGCTTCTGGACCAAACGGGTTTTCTATTCGTTAGGCCTCCTCTCTCCCACCCATTATGCTCTCTGCACCACAAAGGAAAGATAGAACCACATTCTTCTCTCTTTGCTCATAGCTCCTGAAAATACTATATTCCGCAATAGTGAATATATTCCCCAAGAGATACAATCTCAGTTCTGCATGCTCCCGATCTGGGCATCTACCTGCAATTCTGTATTGGGTGGGAATTCAGGTGATCTATTGGAAATCTTCATTCTTGAGCTTAATTGTGGCCTCTCTGACTTCCTGCAGTGATATCTGCTGAGGGTTTCTTGTTCTGGGAACTGCATAAAATTCAGTATGGGTTTTTTAAGCAGATGATACAGTAAAGCTGTAGGATTTCAAATATATGTGGGGATGGATATTGTTTAGGGTGTACAGAAAGCTTCCGGGAACAATTATGACTTAATGTGCATTTCATTAGCAATCATTTAGATTAATTTAGGTTTCTGTAATGCTGCTTGCTAAAACATGATGAGGGTATTAATATTGTTCTCCACAATCTGTTGTTAAACTCCAAACAAATATTTTATACTAATATGGTTGTTTTCAGTTTTTTGCTACACTGTACTAGACATTGCTTTGTGGCATAAGCAGAGGGAATGTTGCAAGTGTGAGATGTTGAAGGCTAGGAATTCATTGGGGCAAAAACCCCTGCAACCTCCCCAACCCCCTGTTTACATAGGAAATGGGTAAGTGTTTGTGCTGTGTAACTTACATAATGAGCGCAAAGTTGAGGCCTAAATAAAAAGGCTCCTGTGTGTGCCCATGGGGTGCAGACCTGAGTGAGTTCATGACTCTACATTTTCCCTCACAAGTGCATCTGTAAGCTAGTAACTACATGTTATTTGGAATGTTGACAAGGGCCTTATGTCTAGTGAACTCTAACTACTTCTCAAATTTCATTGAGTGGTGATACATATGAGGCACGAGATTAGCGGGAAGGGGTGGACACTAAAGTCATACCAAGAGGACTTATAAATGAATGTTGCATGGATCGAAAAGCTTGTGATATAGTAACAGAGGAACTGCATGCTATGATGGGTGGAAGTACTATAAGCAATTCTGAGTCGCGGTGTCTTTGATATGGAAATTGTGTGCGCCTCTCAAAGGAAGTGGTGCATTAATTTTAAAACCGGCATGTTTTAAGTCACTTTTAGTCTCCCCACCCCCAACCCTGCAACACAGTCCATTAAGTTCATACAGAGCAGATAACAACGTCACTTGGGGGCGGGGGAGACCTTCAAAGCTACAACCTAAAAGTGAAAGGCTTCTGTTGCTACATAAATGGACACATTTCTCAAATGCAGGATGAGCTTTCTCCTTTGCAGGAATAAGCTTGGAAGCTTTTTCTTTGTGATAGGTTCTTCATCAGAATTTTGCATTTTATCTAGTTTTCCTTATTTCCACAGTGAGACAGAACTTGGAAATCATGGAATTTGCAAAATAGTAGGTGTAGACCATTACAGAGCCTTTCTAAATTTATATATAGCTCCCATATATTCAGACCCACCCACCCAACATGATACGGTACTAGAAATTCAACTTTAAATGGAATTCCAGCAGCCTATAAAGCCCCTAAATATGGTGTGGTGATAGGCAAATTGTTAAATGTTAAGTGTTTTATTTTGTTTTTATTTATGTTGGAAGCCACCCGGAGTGGCTGGGGAAACTGAGTCAGATGGGTGGGGTATAAATAATAAAATGATGGAGATGCCGATGCTGATTGGGGAGATTCTGGTTCAAATCGCCACAAAGCCAAGAACTTCACTGAGTGTTCTTGGCCTGAGCTAAGTTATGGTGATTGTCCTGTTTCAATAGATTAGAATAAAATAGGGGAGGATGAGAACCATAAATTTCACCTTGAGTTTTTTAGAGGATGGGTGGGATATAATATAATAAATAAATAAGCACTGCCATCCACTACTCAGTATTTATGCCAAAATGTATATTCTTTGAGTGTCAAGTGAGTGAATTTAATTTACATTTTATTTTAGGTTTCAGCTAGCTTAAAATCCATAGGATTGCAATTGCATGAGTGAAGATCCTGTTTTTTCCATAGATAAGAGGCTTAAAAACTTTGACCAATCCCTTTCTCAGATTCAGACCCACCATGAATTTTTTACTTCTCTCTAAGTAGGTGGAGTGGATCAAAACTCACCAGCATATCTCACAATGTATACCAACTAGCCAGTAATTGTTGGAGTTTCCTGTCTTTGTCACAATAAATAGGTGTCACAGGAAATGTTTCCAGATTTGTGTGTATACTTTCAACCAGGTTTGTACTGCCCCATGCAAGCCAGGTAACTATATAAACAATCATTTCCCATTACACCTTTTTCTCCTCTTCCTCCCCCTCTGGGAATTAGGTGGCGCAGTTTAGGAAGGCATGTCTGAAATAATGGACATAATACATAGGTTGTGGTTCATTGCTTTGTTGTGAAGTGCTGCTGAGCAATTTTGTAAAATTATCTCTCATTAATCCAATCGTAACACTAAAAATAATGCAAAGAGCCCAACCCAATTCTTTCATTTTCATTTGTCTCAAGTCTGTTACGGTGAGGAATACAGATATTGTAAAATAGCAGCTGCATTAGTAGAAACAGAAAAGAGTTGGTACTGTATTGATCCAAATATAAGCCGTACCTGCAAATAAGCCACACCTTTAAAAAAATTGGGGGGGGGAGACAATACCCGAATATAAGCTGCCCCCTTTAAATTCCACAGGCACTCACACCCGTAAATGGCAAATGTAGAAGAAAATCCTACGGGTACTATTCCCCCATGCTCCCGGGCTGCTTCCTGGGGTGGGGGGAGCTGTGCCACTTTGCTGGCAGGCTCCCCACCTCCCCCCTTCTTTTCGGGGGGGAGGCTTGGGAGCTGCAATTGGGAGAGGCGCTGTTGTCCTCCCCCCCCCCCGACTGGCCCTCGTGATGGTATCCTGGACGGGGGCACACTTTCCATTCCAGCGCTGGAAGGCAAGGCAGGGTGGCGGACCTAGGGCAGGTGTTTTAGCAGGGATATCATAAGGTTGCAAATATAAGCCGCATTTTAACTTTTCGCAGTCAGAATTGCGGGGGGGGGGAGTGTGGCTTATATTCAGGCTAATACGGTACTTGTTTCTGCATATTAACAGTTAGGTATTTTGGCAAAATAAAGATACTTTCTAGGCTATTAGTGGTGGCTTTGTGTAAAACTTGCAAATCCTCAGCATTTTAGAGAACTAGACACAATTACTGCAGTTGGAATTAATAATATACCAGTATATATTTTCTTAAAATGAAAACTTTATTGATTTCATGTCAGTTTGTAGGACTCACTGGGCTATTGGTATTAATTTCTATCTACCACCAAAAGTTGCATGCACATTCCTTCTCCCCCTATGGTTTGTTCCATTGATTTCTTAGCCTTGCCTGCTGACTCATAAATGAGATTACTGAAAAATCTGTTCTGAGTTCTTTTTCTTTGGTTTGCTTCGCATAGTGTAGCCTTATTTTAACCTATAGTTGTGTACGTGCAGGGGTCGGCAAACTTTTTCAGCAGGGGGCCGGTCCCCAGTCCCTCAGACCTTGTGGGGGGCCGGACTATATATTTTCCCAAAAAAATATGAACGAATTCCTATGCCCCACAAATAACCCAGAGATGCATTTTAAATAAAAGGACACATTCTACTCATGTAAAAACACACTGATTCCAGGACTGTCCGTGGGCCGGATTGAGAAGGCGATTGGGCCAGATCCAGCCCCCGGGCCTTAGTTTGCCTACCCATGTCTAAGTGCATGTAAGAATAGGTCATAAATTGGTTAGTTGCTATCTAA